TGTGTCCTCTCCTGTTTTTCTTTTGTCAGTCTGGCCAGTGGTTTGTCGATTTTGTTGATTCTTTCAAAGAACCAACTTTTGGTTTTGTTGATTCTTTCTGTTGTTTTTCTGTTCTCTATTTCATTGATTTCTGCTCTGATCATTACTATTTCCTTTCTTCCGGTGACTGTGGGCTTTTTTTGCTGTTCTCTCTCCATTAATAAAATCCTTTTTGATGACAATTTTACCTCTGTGTTGTAACTGGATTTAATATTTAAATGCAAATTAATAATTAAAAGAGACCCTAGGAATATTTAAAAATATTTTAACCTTTTAGTATGGAATGTTTCAAACATACAAAATTACAGAGAATATTATAAAGAACCCTGATGTATCAGCTACCGAACTTCAACATTCTCACCATAACAAAAAAACAGACAAAACCCATTGCCGTAGAGTCAATTCCAACTCATAGGGACAGAGTAAAACTGCCCCACAGGGTTTCAAGGAGCAGCTGCGGAATTTGAAAATCCAACCGTTTGCTTAACAGCCGAGCTTTTAATCACTGCACCACCAGTGCTCCTGACATTATCAGTTCCTGGGAAATCTTGTTTCATCTATACTCTCATGTACCCCTAAATCCATTATTTTGAAGCAAATCAGAGACATAATGTTTAATCTATAAATATTTTAGTGTGTATCTCTTAAATATAAGGACTCTTTTAAAATCACACTGCAACTGTTTTTGTTGTTTGTTGCTGTCCAGTCGATTCTGAGTCATGGCGACCTCATAACTGTAGAGTAAAACTGCTACATAGGATTTTCAAGGCTGTGGCAGACTGCCAAGCCTGTCTTCTGAGGCACCTTAGGGTGGGTTCCAGCAGCCAATCTTTCAAACACTTAACCATTTGTACCACCCAGAGATTCTCATGTTTTATAGTGAAGATAAAACATATTCTTGTAAGTCAGAAATATGATATTTTCGTTCTTTTTCCTCCCCCCAGCCAATCAAGTTGATTCTGACTCATAGCAACCCTACAGGACAGAGTAGAACTGCCTCTTGGGGTTTCCAAGGAGCGGCTGGTAGATTCGGACTGCCGACCTTTTGGTTAGCAGCTGTAGCTCTTAACCACTGTGCCACCAGGGCTCCAATAAATTCTAGACTCAGCAAGTCATGATCACAAATTCAGGGCCACCAGGAACTTGTTTTTCTTGAGATCTGTGCTGCATCATTCACTGCCTTGACTCTTATGTACTGAGTATCTATAATATACCAAATACTACAATAGGATTTCAGGACACAAAAATAAAGAAACAAAGTTCCTACCCTCAAGACCTCTTGGTTTAATGTAAGACCAAGATAAACAAATAGTGACAATGTAATGTCTACAGTATTACCAAGTGTGATGTGTAGTGATGTTTATTACACAATTCAATGTAGTATAGAAGAGTAAACAAACTTTTCAAAAGGGTTTATCTTTGAACTTAAAGAATGAGTAGAAAAAGTTTGACAGAGGGATTTCAAACACAATAAGCATACATCAGAGATAATGAAAAATAAGTATTAAATTGAAATTTTGACAAAAGTGTCAAGATACAATAGACCTAAAATACCAAAGAAATGTGCAATAACTAGATATAGATTGTCAAAGACATTTAAAAGAAAAAATTTATCAGTCTAAAAACCCCATACTCTGAGTGGCTTTGGGGATTTCCCTCCCTCTAACAAAGCTAGAAATGAAATGTTAATTTCTCATTCCTACTTCACTGCAAACTCTCTGGCCCTCTAGACTCCAGCTTTTATTTCTCCTCTACTATTCTTATTCTCTCAGGTATCCATATCTTCTTTTGTGGCTCCCATATTGACCACTGTTTTTGATCAAATAACTATCTCCATTTCAACAAAGGAGAGATAAATGTGAATGCATGACTTTTTTTTAAATGTATTATTTCAAAATGATGAATACTGTTTTCTTCCTGTCCACATTCTCTGCTCCCCAGAGCAACTCAGTCTCTCCTGAGTTTTCAGGACAGAATGTTATTGGTCCCAAAGTGGTTTTTTTTTTTTTTTTTTTAATATTT